TATTCGTAGGAATAGAAATCTTAGTATCAGTATTAGTATTCGCACTAGTAATAGCTATTATACACATTGGCGCATGAGTAACCTAAGAGCTTCACACAGAATAAACATGTGTGCACATGTAACCCTCATTACGATCCTAGGTAGGATGCACACATCGTTCTGTTTTGGTCCCGTCTTTGGGTTATGCCTATGAGTACATGAACAAAATTAAAAACAGACAATGACAAACACAAAGTTACCCGGCGCATCTAACGATCTTACGTAGGATGTAGACACTGTTCTGTCTTGGTCCTGTCTTCGGGTTATGCCTATGGTCATTATATGACCAGAGTTATGAATATCCGGAACATTTAGGCAGTATCCTATTAAACAATTGCAGGCATTGAAGCTTGCCCAAATCCGCCAACGGCGATGTCGCGCCGTCGTAGGTCATTACAGTGTATTCAGCTATTGATTATACACGATATACGTTTCCATTGTTTATGTATGAGTGTATTTTATCCTAATGGTTTCCTCAAATCCTTACATGTTCTACTACCCATTGCTAGCCGAAGCACCTCGCGGTAGGTCTTGGGGGGGGGTGTGAGCATATATATATATATATATATATATATATATATATATATCGTGTGTAGTGCATATGTAACATGGGCAGTGTAGTTGGTATGCCACATACACACGTATGTATGCATGCATGTATGCATGTATGTAAGAATACATATGCATATGCTTATACAGGTATACTTAATCATGTATAAATGTGTATATATATATATAGGTATATATGTACATGTACGTACGTATGTATGTATGTGTATGTGCTTATACACACATAATCTGGGTCCTTTGCAAGGCCGCCTCCTGGTGGCTCTTTCCCAGCTCTCTTTCTGAAGCGATCTGCCGCAACATGGACAGGGCACAGAGCCACCAGAAATCAAAGATGCACAGTCACGCACAGAGCCGCCTTACTCTCGAACTCATTCTTCTCTTTCTCTCGCTGCTGTTGCAGATTCTGGAGTTCCTTCCTTGGTTGAATCCACCACTGGCAATGCCAATACTGCTTGTTGCAAGGTGCGATTAACGGCCGGCATCCCGGTGGTAGATGGCAACTTGACATCGTGAGGCCCACACTTCAGGCGCGCATTCTCTTCATTCAGATGATCGGCGTCAGCTGGCATTGTCGGCGCCAATCTTGGCAGCAACAAAGGTAGTTAGCAGAGCAATCAAGAAAGCGTACCAACAAACTAGGTAGTAAGTAGTAACTACTGGCAGCAAGTATGCCAGTACAGAGGAGTAAAGCACGACCTGTTCTTGCCCCGGCAGAGTCTCACTCCTCATGGCACAATAACGAGTCGCAAACTCCCGAGACCTTCGGTCAAGACGAAGCAAGCTCAACTCCATGGTTCCCAATATCCATTCCGCAATTCCCTACTAAGCACCAGGCAGTCAATCGTGAAGCAAGATCCCCTTGACACATACCATACAACAACGATACGTCCACACACACACACACAATGACATGTGCGTAGAGATTAGACGACGCAGATGTACAAGAGGCTGCACGCGGTGCAGTTTACATCTTCCTAGCCATTAGACATCCCCGTACACGTTTGTATCAGTATCCGGAGGTATATCACCGGCTGCTTGTACATTAGACCCCAACCCTGAACCCCCAAACTAAACCCTAAACCTTACACCTCTCCCCCTTAGATCCTGAAACTCTTCAGCAAAGAGGCTCGACTTGACGAGGTCAAGTTCAGCTTCTACACGTGCAAAACGCGCTGGTGGGATAGAAACAAACCCCACCACCTTTGAACCGAAAAGGCGAGGGATAGACGGCTAACATGGCAGCGAATGCAAACATGAATGAGCATGTATTTGTGTATATGAGATGTACATGTGTATATATATATATATATATATATGTACACACAAAGTTACATTCGTTAACTCGTTCCTTCATTCATTGACTTATCCGTTCATTCCTTCCTTCCTTCATTCACTCATTGTTTCTTTCATTCATTCATCCATTCATTCATTATTTCGTTTCAATCATACGTCCATTCATTCAGTCAGTCAGCCAGTCAGACAGTCAGTCAGTCCGCCAGTCATTGTTTCATACATTCGTTCATGTCATTGAATTCTTACATTCATCTATGTTTTTTAATTTTTCCATTCATTCATTCGCTCATTCACAGTCATCATTTCATACAGGCATACATACAAATATTCATTTATTCCTGCAGTTCATTCATATAAGTCCTTTCTTTATTTCTTCCTTAGGTCATTCATTCAACCATATCTTCATTCAACCTGTCAATCATTCACTCATTCGTCCGCTCGTTGATTCGTTCATGCATTCCAGCATGTTCAATGCTTTGTTTATACAGCTGTACACATCAGATGGTGCATTATCACGTACTGTCTTATGATATAGCTAATTTCTACGTTATGTGAGTATTCTCTAAGATGCACACACACACATACACATAGACATGCACATACATACACGAACACACATCTGGTTCTACCTGCACCCATGGTCAGCCAGGACGTTTCGCCTCATTTCACGTCTATGGCTGCTGCGCGACGGGATCGACAGCCCTAAGATTCAAAATCTTCAATGCTAGTCCTCTATCGAATGCAGACCAAAGCCCCAACCCCGAAGCCGTAAACATCGTACCTGAATTCTACAATGCCTACAACTCCTACAACTGTCTCTGGAACCCTAAACCCCTAAACTCTAAACCCCGAACCCAGAACCCTGAACCCTAAACCCCTACACCCCAAGTTCTCATAGGAAGGCCTCGCATCCTTTTCATTCACCGGTGTGCCGCCGTCAAGCCGCCCGGTCCGCGATGGCCGGCACCCGGGAGCACAGGTCATAACCAAAGAGACCTTGGCACTAGTAGTTTTACTAGTAGTAGTAGTAGTAGTAGTAGTAGTAGTAGTAGTAGTAGTAGTAGTAGTAGTAGTAGTAGTAGTAGTAGTAGTAGTAGTAGTAGTAGTACCACTACTACTACTACTACTACTACTACTACTACTACTACTACTACTACTACTACTACTACTACTACTACTACTACTACTACTACTACTACTAGCACGAGGAGCAGGATGAGGAGGAGCAGTAGTACCTGTATTGGCACTGGTTCACGTGCTAGTGCTGGTACCGGTACCGGTACTCGAAGTCGCGACCCACGAACGTGGCCGCTGGCTGAGGTGGCGGCGCCGTCAGAGCAGCTCCATCCACGCCAAGCTCCCAAAGACAAGCTCCTGCTACTCAGGGTGTGGTCTATGAGCTGCGACAATGGGAAACAGTGCATCTCGGATCCTGTGACTCGTCAATTCGAGGACCACGAGAACATGTCATATTGTCAAACCTCTGGAAAATGATGAAGGTTCAGGGCCTCTATTTCACAAAAATTCACAGGCTCGCTTTGCAAAATTTACGCTGCAGTCCTCGCCACCTTCGAGGCCGTTCTCTTCAATCGTCTGCTTCTCGTTAAGCCGCTCGCTTTCTGATGCAGGTGGCTGCCGTCTCACGCTAGAACATTTTTTCAAATCATACACGCTACTACAACATGCACAAGGATACCGTCATGATATAGAATCACAGTCTTGCATTACTAGTCCTTACCATTGCCGATGCCATGATGCCACAGCCTGGGACCATGCGGCCGGTTCTGACCCTGAGCTAAGGCGAGCACTTTTCAGGTACCGCAGGTTGCCGCGAGAGTCAGCCTCTGCAGGGTAGGGTTCAGGGTTTGGGGTTTAGGATTTAGGGTTTAGGATTTAGGGTTTAGGGTTTGGGGTTTAGGGTTCAGGGTTTAGGGTTTAGTGTGTAGGGGTGCGGAATCCCCCGCCATGGGCTGAGCTGGGGGCCGTGGGAGTACCGTCCAACAGAAAGAGCCCGTACTGTCTGGCAGCCAGATCCTGTGCGTTCGCAATCAGGATTCGAAGCGCCATGGTTCCGGGACGTCAGAAACGCGTAAGGCCACGGCACAGAGGAAGGGAACCTTTTCCCGAAACTGCTCGTAGGCTTCCCTCGGATGAACTCGGACGCCCTAAAGTCAGGGGTTGAGGGCTTAGGATTTATAGGGTTTAGGGTTGAGGGGTTTCGGGAAATGCACTAAAACCGCAAAACGCAGGGCATAGAGCCCTAAACCCGAAACCCTAAAGCAAGGCAGTGCCGAAAGCCATTCCCTAAGGCTCCATGTACTCGTATAGTGGTAGTCTCCATACGGGTACTTGAAGGCCAAGGTATATACTATATGGGTAAGTCTCTAAATTAGGGTCCCTTTCTATATCCCGCACCCTTGGAAGAAGGACCCTAAACAGGACCCTAATTCAAAGAACTACCCATTTAGTATGTTTCTTGGCCCTAAGGTACCCATATGGGGACTATTCTAAGCCTAGGCCTATGTGGGTGGTCGTCAAAAGTTATGGTACCTTTCTGGGTCCCTATTATAGTACGGCACCTAATATTTAGGGTACCCAAAAAGGACCCTAATTTTGACAACTACCCCTGTATATACGAGAGGAGTGAGGAGTACATGGAGCCTTTGGGATTCAAGCCCAGGCGCAGCTTGAGGTCGCCAACATTCTCCTGCCTGAGCGCAGCTCTCAGAAAACAGTTTGGGATTTAGGATTTAGGACCTAGGGTTTAGGATTCGGGGCTTAAAGGGCTTAGGGTTTCGGGTTTAGGATGTTAGGTTCAGGGTTTAGGATTTGGGGTTGGGACTTGGGGTTCAGGGCTGGGCTCCGGTTCTGGTGATGGCAGAATAAGAGCTGCAGACAACTTGGACACATGTGCGGCAGTTGTGTTGATGCTCAGGCTGGCGGTCAATGGAAGCAATACTACTACTAGTAAGAATAATCGACTCAAATATTGATCATCATCATCACACAACGTAACAATGATTGTCAATCAACTAGGTTCAAGACGACCGTGAGCTCGCAACCCTCCGAAGTTCTTCATAGATGCGCACTGGCACATTCTAAGCGTCGGACGGATCCACATCCAAGGTGAGCTTTGTAGCCTCCGCGGTGCTTCGAACTTTACGGGTGCGGATTTCGAGCTGTAGGGACAAAAGCCATGAACTGTTTTGAGGGTTCAGGGTTTCAGGTTCCCAGAGATTGAGATGACAAGTCCGCGAGCGAGGAAGGAGACAAAAATCCCTGAACCCGAATCAAGACTCTGAAATCCCTCCCTCCCAAATCGACAAAAGCCTTAAAACCTCAACTCGAACCCTAAGGCCTGAACTCTGCAACCCTAAACCACAACCCCTAAACCCTAAACCCCTAAACCCCTAAACCCTAAACCCCTAACCCCTGAACCCCTAAACCCTAAACCCCTAAACCCTAAACCCCTAAACCCCTAACCCCTGAACCCCTAAACCCCTAAACCCTAAACCCCTAAACCCCTAAACCCCTAAACCCCTAAACCCCTAAACCCTAAACCCCTAAACCCTAAACCCCTAACCCCTAAACCCCTAAACCCCTAAACCCTAAACCCCTAAACCCCTAAACCCCTATAGACCCACCTAAAGCCACCACCCGAACCGGAGTTGCTGGGCCTTGCCCGGGCCATCGACCTTGATGAAGATTCGAAGGCCCGTGGCATCCTCGGACACCATTTCAAGGGTTTTGGGTTTAGGGTTTGGGGGTTTAGGGGTTTAGGGTTTAGGATTTAGGGTTTAGGGTTTAGGGTTTAGGGTTTTGGGTTTAGGGTTTTGGTTTTTTGGGATTTATGGTTTCGGGGTGTAGGTTCCAGAGGGTCTAGGGCCTAGGGCTTGGGGCTAAAACCCTAAACCCTAAACCCTAAACCCTAAACCCTAAACCCTAAACCCTAAGTTTAGAGTCTCGGGCTTGCGGCTTATTTAGGGGCTCTGAGTAATAGAATAAAGTTTGTGGGGCTGTATGGTGGGGAATCATAGGGGCCTGAAGAAATGGATCATACTGCAACTACACCAAGGAGGCGCAGAAGTATTTGTCTATCAGTGCTACCAGGGCTTAAAGTATAAGAATAAAGACGAGCAGGGTTTAGGGCTTTTTAGAGTATTGCTACAGCTTGAGGCTGTAAGGTGTCAAACGTGGAGCTTAGGATCAATACGTCGGGAGCTTGAAGGTCCTGATTTGAGTACCGAAGTAGGGCTTAGGGCTGCGGTGATAGATGAGTGTAGCAGTTCCTAGTTATAAGTAGGGTTATAAGTAGGATAACTAGACTTATAACCCATATTATGGGACTTCTAACCCCACTTATAACTAGTGTGAATACGGGCACCGCAGGTTTGAGAAGAACAGCTGGCTTCTCTCAAACTTGAGTTACAATGCGTGGCTGCTGAGAACATAACAACCCGATACTTAGCAAAGTTGTCTGTTGACGGTCAGGTGTCATGTTGGTTTTTTGTATATTGCAGTCAATGCCAGATCCAGCAGTACATGAAACAATGCTTGCTGTGTGGAGCCGAACCCTCCTGCAGCCTACAGCTGATACAGTCACCTTTGCTAGACCCCGAATATGATGGAGGCCTAAATAGTTAGTAACACAATCCTGAAAGTTTCAAAACACCCCGAAAATGGCGTATGCTTTAGAAGCTGCCCTCACCCTGTAATAGTGACCTTAAGGATTATATAGGATTATATTAGGGCCCTATTAGATCCCTATTATACCACTATTACAGGGTGGGGGCAGCTTCTAGCGTATGCTTACCATACGGAGCCCCACTGCTCAGCCTTCTCTATGAAACTCTCTCTGAGAAAAGCCCGGGGACCCGAAACACCCGGCCAAATGGCAAGAGAGAGAACCCACAATAGAGCAGCCCTTACACCTGGACCCCAAAAGTATGTAAAATAATAGCCTTTTTTGGGGGGGGGAATTGAGCCATTATTTTACCTACTTTGGGGGTTTAGGTACTAAGAGTGATGTCGAATCAGAAAGATCAAGAAACACACAAACCCTGCAGAAGGGAAGCCGCCCAAAACAACTTGAACCAACACCTGCAACCCACTACACCAACTTAGGTGAACCAACACCTGCAACCCATTCAAAACTCTCATTAGACTCAACAAACAATCGTAGAACGTCACCGCCCCTTAAACCCCAAATCCTAAGCCCCCAACTCAGAACAAGAAAAGAACACCCCTACACCCCAAACTCAAAACACGAAATCCAAATCCTTGAACCCCAAACTCAAACCCGAAGCCATCACCCAAATCCTCAAACTTCAAACTCAATACCTGCACAACACCCGAAACCCAAATCCCCCAAACCAAACCCATATCACCAAAACCCGAACTTCTAAATGCAAGCTCCTGACCCCGAAGCTCCAATAGCCAGAACATAGTTTTGGATCCGACTGTACAGCGACAAAACACTAAGAAACACGTTTTCTGTGATTATTTTGGCTGCTGTATTAGTTGCCTCCAGATTGGGCTCTGGTTCTTCGACCTCATTGGCCTGGAACAGTCGCAGCAGCAGTGGCCACAGATAGGCAGTGTCACTGTCACCACCACTACTACTACTACTACTACTACTACTAATACTACTACTACTACTACTACTACTACTACTACTACTACTACTACTACTACTACTACTACTACTACTACTACTACTACTACTACTACTGCCACCACTACCACTGGCACGACCACTACCACTACAACTAGGTGTGGGGCTTGGCATTCGAGCTTTCGTCGTTGTGGGCTTTGCATGTTTTGAGGTCGGTTGAGCGTTCAGTTTTTGGGGTCTATGGGGCATTTAAAGGTGATGAGGGAGATGACTGAATTGACATGGTGCGGGTGGCCAGCAATACTTGCATATCAACGTGACTTCTTGGATTTAGGAATTGAGCTTGTCATTAAGGGCGCAAACAGCTCCGAAACAGCTCACCGCCGGAGGGTTCAGCGGAACGAGCTTGGACTAAGTCCGCAGGTTCTAAGCTTCAAGAGCACAGTGCTTGGGAAGATTCTGCTTTCAATCCCCTTTCTGGCTCTTTGCTACAATACCCCCTAAGAGAAAAGGCGTAATCAGATAACGCACATACTGAGCTGCCTTTTCGTTCAGCCTGCTACACATGTGGGAGCTCCAAACCACAGGGGACCTCAACATGGATCCGACGGGGCAGGATCTGTACCAAAAGAGCTCCTAAATTCATGACCCCGGATGTTTGGAACCCCCGCTACAAACACACACACACACACACACACACACACACACACACACACACACACCAGTCTAAACCCGATACTCAGCACACAAAAGCCCTAAACCCAAAGCCCTAAACCCTAAATAAGGCATGCCGAAGTCTAAAGAAACCTTCGATTTCGTCATCTGTTTTTAACTGTTTGGAACTAGATAAGGTACCCCGATTTCTTCGTCTGTGTTTACTTGTTGTTGAATAAACAAGGTACGCCGCAGTCTAAAGGAATTTTCGTGTTTTCTTCATCCAGGCCCCTAAACCCTAAACTTTCAACCCTAAACCTTAAACTTTAAGCCCTAAACCCTAAACCCGGCCGGGGCCTCCAGAACCTTGACCTGAATCTTCGACCTGGCAAAGAGGGAGACAGGCCTCTGCTTTCGGGCTTTTAGAGTTTACGGGGGTATAGGGCCGTCAGGGGCTGTAGGGTTTTTTGGGCTTAGGGTTGTAAGGTTTAGGCTTCAGGAGAGACCCCAAAAGCCAAGGAGCTTGGCTTCCCAAAGTGTTCGCCGGGGGGCTTTCGAGGCCTATAGGGCTTGGGGTCCAGGGCGGTAAGGGTTCGGGCTTAGCTCTTTTTTTGGGGTCCAGCTTTGGGTGTTGAGGGTTTACTTCTTAAATTAAAGATTCAGCTGTTTCGGTCCCAAGGGTTCCCTAAACCCTAAGCCCAAGACCCTTAACCCAAGACTTAAAGACTCAGCACTGGGTTTAGGGCAGCGGGAACCCGAAACAAGGCGGCGGGGCCCTTCTTTCAGGTCGATCTCCGTGAGCCTGCGAAAAGAGGTGTACTTGGAGGCTCATGGGTAGTTATGTAAGGGTTTAGGGCTTAGGGTTTAGGGTTTACTTTAAGGTTCATGTGTAGTTATAGCGGTGGGTTCTGAGTCCCCCAAATTTAGACTATAATATACCGTAGTTACCCTACTTATAACCACCACTTATAGCTACCCATGAACCTCCAAGTAAGACAGGTATTTCAAGAGGAAGCTCAAAATCGCAGCGATGCGATCACCATTACCATGGTGAGACCTTAATGCCTAAACCCAAACCCTAAACCCAACTCCAATGCTGTTAGTTTACGGATTGGGTTTAGGGCCGTAGCTGAGGAGCAGGCACCAGGTCATCATCGAGCTGCTTTCCGTCGTAGCTCACCTAGCAAGCTAGGGTTTATGGTTTAGGGTTTTTCAGAGAAAATGGCTTCGATCCTGAACTACAAAATACATTCAAACTAGATGGTAGAAAATGACATAAACGGTACTCAGACAAGACCAGACGAGACTAGTTGCTAGACTATGCTGACTATGCCATGTTATGCTATGCTACGGTATTCCATTTGCGATGCGATGCTGAAACCACGCTACACTACACAATACGATGCCGTGCTGCAAAATCAGGGCCCTGATCACCTGAACTCGACACCCAAGGGAACACCCAAACTCCAAACACTTCCGTTGAACCTGACGGACAAAAGGGCTATAGGTGCCATTTCAGAACTACAGGGATTCAAGACCAGGACTGCTCAAGGGCCCTTCGATAGAGTCCTCATGGCCGTGAATTGAACCTCCACAGAGCCGGGACAGCTGAAGCCCGCAAAGGCCTCCATCAAGTACTCAGAGATTCCCAGCTCCAAGTTCAAGACCTCGGGCTTCACGGCCGCATGCGACAAAGCCGTATCATCAATGCTGGCATTCTCCAGGCTACTGCCACTGCTAGCTCTTAGCGTTCCTTTTTCTGTCTGCTGCTGCTGCTGCTGCTGCAGGTGCTTGGCGCTGGTGCTGCTGCTACTTCATCACGCAGCTGCTGCGGCACCAGCAACACCACCACCACCACGACTGCGACTGCCACTATGACTACTGCGACTGCAGGACCACTACGACTGCTGCTGCAGTACTCCTACGACTGCTACGACAGCTACAGTACTACTGCTACTACCACAATGACGACTGCTCCCTCGCCCTTGTGATCCTTGCTACCGCTGCGCAGTTGCTGCTGTAGTACAGAGGCACAGGCTGCTTTGACAATCTTTGCCGTGTCGCTCGGCCGGACCTGCACAATCACGGCAAGTCCTTAATGAGCCCAAATTTCAAAACAGTAAACCCTACCCTCCAAAATCTGGCCTTTGAGCCCCGAAGCCTGAAACAACACTCACCCCTGACCAAGATAACCAAAGGCACGCCTCGATCTGGTATGCCTTATCACCCTCGATCTCCACCAAGATCGGCACATAGCTGGTAGGACTCGGCAGGCTTGGGATTCACAGCATTTCGGGCACGGGGGAGAAAGGAGTCCCACATAGCGGTGCTGAAAAAGTCGCATGACTTACAGCTGTCTTCCCCACCAGTGCATCAGGATCCACAAATGGTTTAGGGTTTAGGGTTTAAGGTTTAGGGTTTAAGGTTTAGGGTGCTCATATACCTCCCAGCTGGAGCCCGTCTGGACTTCAGACATCTGCACAATTACTGCATCACCCAGCATGGTGCAAGGTCTCCCTTCCCTTCAAGCTTTGACTCAGACTTTGGCTTGGGGCGTTCAGCGGGAGATAAACAGTAGGGCAGTCTAGACTGTAAATAGAGGGACGAAAAGACCTAATACAGGGGCCTTAATAATTAGAATAGGTTTGGGGGCCCATTATGCTATAATTAGTTGTAAAAAGGAACCCCCAAAATAGTATCGGGTAATTATTTAGGCCCCTACATATAGTATGGTAATATCTGCAGACACTCGAAGTTGAGTTGCAGACTCAACCTCCGCCAGCCGAATGACGCGGCTTCCTCGAGCCTGAGCACAAGTCGCAGAGCAGTCAAGCCGAAGCCCTCCACTTGGAGGTTCATGTAGCTATAAGTAGGGTTATAATTTTTAAGTAGTGTAACTATACTTATAACCCATATTAGGGGACTAATGACCTCACTTACAACTACCCATGAACTTCCAAGTATCTTCAAACCCTCAGGGCCCAAGCAGTCCGTATTTATGGTTTCGGGTACCCAAAACAGCCCCAAAGTCCCATAAGAAGGAGTACTTGGACCCTTAGCGACTGTCTCATCTGTACAGCCGGCTTTCCCCTAAAGCCTAAACCCCAAATCCTAAACCCTAAATCCTAAACCCTACATTCGAAATCCGAAATCCTAAGCCGTAGTTCCTAAACCCTATCTTCATCTGAAAGGCCTCTGAGTCCTCGGCCCGCCCTCTGCTCAGCCTGGGGACCGCCAAGGCCGCCAGAGCAAGCGAGAGATAGCCACCGTAGGCGGTTGCTGGAGTCTCTCTTGGCACAGGGCCAAGCTGAGAGCCGGCGCGAGTTGCTCTCTGCGCGGGCCGGCTCTGAAGGTCCCAATGACTTGGGCTCTGAGCTGAAACAAAGGCGAGCATCACCTGACCTAAGACTCGAGGAATGAACAAAGACTCGTTTCAAACGAAGCAGAATTGAAGGGCGCGAAATGTAAGATTCAGGCGTACACAGGGCCGCCACGCCAGATGCCGCGAAAGGAAGTCTGCTTCTGAAGTCGCTGTGCAAGGATGTTGTCTGCACGAAGACCCGTGGCTTTGTATTGAAGGAAGTTGCACGGAAGTTGGTGCCACATGAGTGTGTGCATGAGTCCTACAAGACAGTCTGACGAGCTTGATCCGAAGTTTCTGCCTGAACTCTGCTGTGGACCTTCTCGAAACTGAGCATCCTCTCGCGCAGTGATTACGCACTTCGCAGACGCGTTCTTGGGTTTTAATTCATGGGATCTAATTGTGTGCAGGGTTGTTTAGGGCTGACATCGTGGCAAAAAAGACGAAGGCTTACGGTCTCTCTCGCTAGGCATCAAGCAGTTCATGCGATCTACTGCGCACGCTCTCACAGGAACTTGGTCAGAAAAAGTCCAGGATTCCAGGACCACAGATGACCACAGGGAACCTGGGCCGGCATGCTCAGTAAACACCCGTCATGTTACTCATGTTACCAGAAGCAGGAGTGTTGGTTCCGCTGTTTGGACAAGAGCTCCCGAGCCCGAAACTCCATCGCCGGCCTCTCAGCGTTAAAGCCCAGCATTGTTAGTGGATCCAATGTTCCGGGAGCTTAACTTGGGGTGTAAGGCTCAAGGTGAGACAACTGTTGGTTGGGCATTGCGGCGTGTGCTTGTTAATCACGCCCCCACATCAGGAAATTCACACGAAGATGTAGAAAACTCGAACTCATCTCCAGAACCAGCTTCAACTCCGTGCATCATGCATCGCATCCTCTAAAGTCTGAGCTTCCGAACCCTTCCGAACCGCAAACATTTCGACACTCGACACTCTGAACCCGGAAGCCAAACCTCATGGAACGGCAGTCATTATGAGACCCCACGACACTCTCCATGTTGTCAGTCTCAAGAGCTGCAAATTCCCAAACGTGAAAGCTGCTTCCCCGGCTCGACCCTCTGATGGTGCCTTTCTGTCACCGTGAGTCCTGAAGGCTCGGTGAACCGCCTGCCTTGTGAAACCTCTGTAAAACAGGATAGTTAAAGTACAGATTAAAGCAAACCTCACACGAGTGATGAAACACCTGCTACTGTGAATGCCTAAGCAACACTTCATCGGCGGTCGTGAGAAGCGTGCATGGCAAATGGACAGCCCAACTTGAGAGACCGCGCAGACGGCAGCGGCATATTTCAAGAACATCTCCGACATCCGCTACGGCAAGAAGTAGAAACGAGGAGTGATCAGGCTTGATTGGACTTCTGCCTGCGGAGTAACCAAGCGAATGGCATGCAGAAACAAGCAAGCAAAGCTTTTGTCCACACCACTCTCTTTCACAAGGTTGCTGGCAGCAGTCCGTGCAGAAGGAGGTTCTTCGTTTTCTCAAACACCGGTTTGTTGCCAGCACAACCTCCGTTCCCTTCCGCCATGTAATCCAGTGCCGTAAATCCGTCAGCGTCCTGCTTATGAGGGTTGGCCCCCAATTCCAACAGCAGCTTCACAATGTCTACACGGCACCGCTCCGCTGCCTGGCAGGTTCATGCTTTAGCCCACACGACAGTTTTCTGCAAGAGGATTGTGTAAGACATGTCGAAGTCATGCCTGAATTTAGTGCTGAAAAGTAGCGTCTGCGAGCACTGTTGTTCCATTTTCCACCGATGCATCAATACGTGCGTTGTGCTCCAATAGGAGCTTCGCTGTTGCGTTTAGCTCCGTCAAATCCATCCCACTGTGTGGCTCCATATACCTTAGCGACACTCGGATGCAACAAAAGTGTCTCTGCGTCCTGATCAATGCATGATGCAGAATATTGCCTGCACCCGAGTAGCTTCTGCACAAGTGCTGTGAGCGGAAACACCTTTTGTCGACGCCCGTTACTGCCTTGTGGCACATGGGGCTGTGCGCAGCGGAACACCGCGTTCACTGGCTTCGTTGGACGAAACTCGTCGCGTGCGTGGTAGACAGTTGTTTCAGACATTCCCGGGAACACGTCAACCCGAGCGGAATCCACCCAGCTCCCAACACCTGGCCTAGTTCAGTAGCTTCAGCTCCCAGTTCCAGGAGTTGGGGCACAGCAGACCAGGCGTCCGATGATATGGCCTGAAATCGAGTTCACGATATCCTATTTGCGGCGTTTCTACTTCATGGTCACTCAAAAACTACCATCAGGCAGGAACAGATCTCAGGCACGAACGCGTCCCACATTCAGCTGGGCTATGCCAGCAAAGCTCTGACTCACGGTCAGATGCTAAAGCTTGCGTGTAGCAAGTCATGCAACATGTTGGCTAATTGCGCGGTAGCTACCGTCCGATTCAGTGCTAAGCGATCCACCCTTGCAGTTCCCGCAGCATATGCTCCACGATCTCAGAATGTCCAAGGTGTTGACAATGCCTGGCCTCTACCAGCGCTGTCTGCTGCAGACAACAAAGACCGGCCTTCCGGTTTGCCTTCGAGCAACGTGTATCCTCGCAGCCAGATCAGCCATGCTGGTGATTTTTTCCTAGATATGCTTTTCACTGGAGCAGCGACAACGATGTCAGCAACAAACCATATGGCCCAATGAGACGCTGTATGGTTATCCCATGCCGCAGATTTGGCTCTCGTCAACGCGACGTCAATGTGATGACGTGTGAGAGCTACGTGCAGGACTTGGGGAACGAAAATTCCAGAGTTGGGGCCTGTTATAGCACCATATTGAAGCCCTCACAATCTTCACGCCCCCACACCCCCAAACCCCCACGCCCCACCCCCACGCACACCTGCACCCACACCCACGACTCACACCCACGATTTTTTAATCTGTGGTGTAAGGCTTGGGGTTCAGGCAAGTGGGAATTTCGGGCTCAGGGTGTGTATGTACACTCCGGTGCACATCTCTTGTAATTCACTATGTGCAGTGCAATGATTGTTTGTGTTTTGGGTGTGTCTGCGTGTGACTGGGTGTCTGTGTGTGTGTGTGTGTGGGAAACCCTGTCACTAAGGGACCGCCTTTTGAAACAAAACAGGGGCGCCAGGGGCACTTGACTGGCCTGGTGCAACGAAGCTCCGGTCAAGTTGCCAGGATATGAGGTCTGATCAACCTCACGTACCTGCGAGTGTCTTTGCATTGCGCAACGCGCATGGCATGAGGCTATGCCCAACAATCCGCCTAGTGGCTGTATATTTCACCTCGATTGTAGAAGTTAGCAGAGGGAGGAAAGCAGGAGTGTGTATCCCGACAGTCTTTCGTTCAACGTGCTGTCAACGGTACGGGTGCCTACTGCGTTGAGCCCTGTACGGTTCGAACCCTGATCGGTTCCATTGTTCAGAACCCTGATCGGTTCCCTTGTCCGAACCCTGATCGGTTCATTCGTTGCTCTGAAGTGCTGGGTATAGCACAACAATGATCTTTACTGATCTGATGACAGGCTAGACTCTAGACGATTTCTTGAAGTGCTCTGCCAGTGAGCCTCGCAGATGTTCAGCCTTGAGACCAGCTGGGCCCAACCAGGAACTGTCTTAGCTGCTATCCTCCCGCCGCAGCCCTCTGCTGAGAAGCCAACTGCGCCGCACCATGGCTGGATGGTGCGGCAAGAATTGGACCTACGGTCAGGATAACGATTGGAACAAGTCCGACCGGTCATCATCTACCTGGAATCGTCGGAATCCTTCCCATCCGGTGGATCCTTTGCCGCCACCTTCACCTTCATCAACGGTGAAACCTCCGAAACCGACTCTTCCAGTATCCTTTCAATCAGATGACAAGTTTGGGACTTGGGACCGCCAAGCGGTCGGAAAGCAAGGATACCAACTTTTCAACGAAGTTCAACCCACCGAATGGAGCCGCAAAAACAGCCTTGCAGGCAGACCCATTGAAGACATTCGAGCATGGGAATTGTCACATCGCGGCATGTCAGAGTTTTCCTTTCGCCTTCTTAGCGAAGGTCGCTATCAAGGAATTGTTTGGACCAGATCTGCATCTGAAGCTGTTTTCGTCATCCAACTGTTGAAGCGAGTGCGAGAAATGGAACTCGATATCGACAAAGTTGCTCGCTCATATTTCACTGATGATATGCCTGACAAGCACAAGGATGCTAGCAAGCTCATGTAGCGATTGAAGTTCATGCAGCGATTGTCAAATGACGTTGCTGACAAAATGAAGGCCAAGATTCCCGCAAAACAAGCGTCTTCTCACGCAGCTGAAGACTTGGTCAAAGCCAAAGCAAAGCTTGCTGCTCATGGTATCCTTTTAACTGCCGACAAGCGGGATAGTACAGGGTTACCAGTGTAGAAGACTCGACCATCGAGCCTCAGAGCTCCGAGTCTCAGCCGAACAAACGCCGAAAAACTGGCAAAGACCCGGCTGATGAAGCCCAGAAGCTCTTGAAAGGTCCTCCAAAGTTTAAGGTGGACTCAAGACCTCCAGGAGCAACAGATCATCATGTTGAAGAATGGCTTCAGACTTTTAAGACTAAGCCAGCTTTTAAAGGCAAATTTACCCAGCTCAAGCAACATGTTGCTACACTTTAAGACATCTTGAGCAAATGTCAGAATGTTTCGAAGCAAGACCTTGTACAGGCAGCCGTCAAATTTGGCTTGGATGACAAGTTGGCATCCAGGATGACTATGAGGAATCTTTCGGTAATCATTTCTGTAGCTCAATTTCAAGCATCCTGACTGGTCAGTCAGGCGCTCTGCATGAAAGCTCGGCAAAGAGGTGAGCTCAAAGCCCAGATTTGTCAACTGGGTGAAGCATGCACTTTTTTCATTCATCAGTGCCCGGAATACTCCAAAGCACCTATGGTCTGGGCACAGGGATTGCTGCATCTTGCTCTTTTGTTTCTGTTCAATGATTCTGCACAGCAATCCCACGCACAATCGCTTCGGACAAAACTCCGAGCTATGCACACCCACCCAGCCATGTACATTTGGCCTCGATTTCTGAACCCATTTTGTGCACATGAAAACCACTGTAGACTGGCGCCTTTTCATATGATTCTGTTGAACACTATCGGCAGCCTTCTACCTACATGTATATAGCATCCACGCGGGTTTCGGTCATGAACCGAGAATCCAACCGCATGACCAATCTAAGAAAGCTCCAAAAGGGTTAAGAGATCCAAGCTGAGCTCGCATTGCGATACTGGAATAATGTTGCAACTGTTGAATCCTACACGCGTCAATCTTGGATTTTGGAGCACATGCTCATTGATGCATGGCAACCCACGCTGAACTACCTTTTATGACGTGGCATCTACAAAGAACGGCCTTGGGGTTCAGGGCGAACTCCAAAACACGCCGAACCTCATATGCCAAGTTCGGGTTGGGACTTTGGCGGAAGCTCAGAGAGAAGCTCTACCCAAAGTCCCAGCCATACAAGTATCAGCTGTCCAGACAACGAGCATGGAACATGCTCTATGATCTTGCCAGCTTTACTAAAGCACCCTACGATGCCAACCGTCAGATTCGATCTCAGAGATGGCTCCCTGAGGAAGTTTATGCCCTCACACGGCTCGGCAACAATTTGGAGGAGCCCAGTCGAAGCAAAGTGCGCCAACGTGTAAAGGCCGCCTGCAAATACCGAAATATGACATTGCCCAAAGGAGCCTTAGGACTGCAGCTTCAGATTACAGCAGACCCACAATTACCCCAGCGCATTTCGCAGTGGATCAAGACGAAAGTGCTTGAGTTCAAGCATCTCTGGGTCCCGTTTCACATACCATCTGATTACCAAGGTGAGAGAGAGAAGCCTCGCCGTAGCATCAAGGAAAATTCGCACAACAACAAACAGTGGGATGAATGGGTTAGCAACCGTTCCATCCAAGACCTCCAATGTCCCTGTGCGCAGTTTCACTCAGCGCTACCTGCACAGTGTTTTCTGGACAATCATGTGTTTACAGGTTTGGAGAACCTGTCTCCTGTACATGAATCTTGTTTCTTCTCGGGTTCAGGCAGTGCCGCCTCTACCTGTTTTCCATCTCGGACAACATTCTTGCAGAACAATCTTAAACAGTTCGAACTGTGGAGAGCCAAACATGGCCTTCCCCTCCAGCTTGTGCAAGAACCTGAAGACTTGCTTAAAGCGGAATGGTACAGCCACGTCCAGGCGATGCAAGAAGAACCTCGCCTCACATGGAGCAACATTCAGGGGGTGAGACTCTGTTATCCATCGTGAAGATCATGCTGCCAATGATGTCATGGTTTAATGTCCTGTGTTGTATTATCCTGCAGCCATGGCCACATGGCAAGATCTGGATGTATTTCAAGAACTCCCGGAGAATGCAGCTCTTTACAGAAGTTGGGTACTTCAAAAAAGCGCCAGCAGACCTAATCACCGTTACTCCTGGGGCATTGATCACAAAGCTGATCTGCCCACGGGATTTGTATTCTTGAAAAGGAGCAGTTCCGCAAAGGTAGAACCATTCTTTCATATGCTTCATCACGTGTTCGCAAGCTGCTGAAAGCAGCCTCCAACGCCATTTTATTGATGGTCAGATGAGTTTGGGACTCTGCATTTGGATTGCAGTCCACACCACAGCCGTGGAAGGACATGCGTGATTTCTTCCAACGTATTCCAGCAGCAGAGCATCTACGAAGAGTCAATGATGATTTGATCGGACTTTTCAATTCGGCACCAAGACAACAAATCATGTTGTCTCTTCGAGCCCTCCTCAGTAGTTACATAGAACATGGTTACCATCATGTGGTTGTGGCTTCCATGACAAGACAACCGGACATGGAGAAAGCCTGGCCGGGAAAATCCCGGACAAAACATGCCAAACAAGTTCGTCAGATCTCAGTCTACGACATTCCAGCCATTGTACAGCTTTCTTTGATGCTGGAGTTTTACAAGCCATGGACAAACTTTTCTGTCAACACAGGGGAACCTGCATTGGCATTGGCAACCAAACCAGCCCTGTGCTGAGCAGCCCTCCTGTTATGCAACGAGAGCTAGCATGGCAGACAGAATGGCGCCAACAGCTCCAGCACATTCAATTGTTTGATTCTCAATTGCTTGGGGATTTGATCTTGATGATGTTCCTTGTCGCTCACCCCACCGAGCTGTTGAGTAAGAGTGTGGTTGCCCTTCAACAGACTCGATAATCTATCACCTTCACGTCCACGTGCAGACGCTTGTCCCTGGCAGGCAGATTCAGAGCTCGCTTGTTTTCACCTTTGTGATCGGCGACGAATCGTCTGTGCTCGGGATGGCTCTGTTCCTCAGAAAGGTCACAGAAGGCAATAAGCTATTCTAAGCTATTGGCAATGATATCTTGAGCTTGTGCTCGTTCTTGAGCCAAAGTTGCATTGGCGGCATGTGGTAAATGGTGCAGCTCTGTGGTATGCGAAGCATGCCCACAGGCTAACACCTAGAGATGGAGTACGCGTAGCGTGCCTCCACTCTTGACCTTTACAAGTCATCACTCATAGCTCTTATCGTGACACCACAGAACTTGACTGGGCATCGCAGTCCGTTCGCATCAAT